TCATAAAATATGATGCTTTAGTACTTGACGAGAATGATATAGCTGTCTTGAAGCGGTACGGTCAAGGTGCTTATGCGGAACAGCTAAAACAATTAGAAACTGATATCGAAGAGGCACTTAAAAAGGTGAGTAATTTTCCTTCTTAAAGTTGATTTTGTTCATTACAGAACATATTTTCAATTGTTTCATGGACTTTACTGGACTTGATGAACATTGATAGCACGTTGCTTCACTTTTAGGTAAATGAGTTGTCAGGTGTCAAAGAAAGTGATACTGGACTTGCTCCACCTGCTCTTTGGGATATAGCTGCAGATAAACAAGTCATGCAAAGTGAACAGCCTTTACAGGTTTTTTTAATGGCCATTGCTTGATTTTTATGTCAAATCATTCATTTGTAAAAAGTTACTAATTTGTAAAAAATGAGTTGGTTTTTAATAGGTTTTTGGAATGGGCAAAAGTTACAGGTTGCTCGCTGTACCAAGATAATCACGTCAGAGGGACATGAACCACGTTATATGATTAATGTAAAACAGTTTGCCAAATTCGTCGTTGATTTGGCAGATACCGTAGCTCCGACCGATATAGAAGAGGGAATGCGTGTTGGTGTCGATCGAAACAAATACCAAATTCATCTTCCTTTGCCTGCAAAAATTGATCCTTCGGTTACTATGATGCAGGTATTTGTTTACCAGTGCTTTTTTTCTTTGTTAGCGTGACTCTTCTGAGTTTGCTGTTAGTTCTGAACTTGGGAAAATAAATAACATTGGTCAATACATTTTTTAGGTTGAGGAGAAACCAGACATAACTTATGCGGATGTTGGAGGATGTAAAGAACAGATAGAAAAGCTCAGAGAGGTCGTTGAAACACCTTTGTTACATGTAAGTTCAAGAGTTTTTCTTTCCAGTTGCCAGTTTCCCTAGGGAGATTTTTCAGGTGATATGTACTTGAGCTCTCTGCCTTTTTTAGCCTGAACGGTTTGTTAATTTGGGTATTGAACCGCCAAAAGGAGTTTTACTTTATGGACCACCCGGAACTGGGAAAACACTATGTGCTCGAGCTGTTGCAAATCGTACGGATGCCTGTTTTATTCGTGTAATTGGTTCAGAGCTTGTGCAGAAATACGTCGGGGAAGGTGCGCGTATGGTTAGGGAACTATTTGAAATGGCACGAACAAAGAAGGTGCCATCTTAGTCATTTTTCTGTTCTATTTTCTTTGATGAGTCAAGTGAATCATGTAGTAAATAATCAGTTGAATTTCGCATAGGCATGTTTGATTTTCTTCGATGAAATTGATGCAGTTGGTGGTGCTCGTTTTGATGATGGGATGGGTGGTGATAATGAAGTACAGCGGACTATGCTGGAGCTGATAAATCAGTTGGATGGTTTTGATCCTCGCGGAAACATAAAAGTAAGACGCTTAGCATTATTTTGGAAAATATCTTTTTTTTTTCCTGGAAGATTTTGCTAAATCTGGTTTTTAATTGCTATATATTAAGGTTTTAATGGCAACAAATAGACCAGATACACTTGACCCTGCCTTAGTTCGACCCGGTCGTTTGGACAGAAAAATTGAGTTTGCCTTACCTGATTTGGCAGGGAGAGCACACATTTTCAAGATTCATGCTAAACAAATGAGCGTAGAAAGAGATATAAGATACGACTTGCTGGCCAGACTGTGTCCGAATAGTACAGGTAAGTTAGGAGAAGATGTATTTAAATTTATATGAGTTTAATCCTGGCTGATTTTCAATTAGTCATTTTGATTAATAATGATTTTAAATTATTGATTTCTGTGTGAAGTCAACTGAAGCTTTTACTTTTTTTAAAGAGGACTCATTTACCTTTATATTGATTTATTCTCATATTTTCAGGTGCAGAGATTAGAAGTGTGTGCACAGAAGCTGGAATGTTTGCTATTCGTGCGCGGCGCAAGGTGGCTACAGAGAAGGACTTTTTAGAGGCTATCAATAAAGTTATCAAAGGTTATGCCAAATTTAGTGCGACTCCGCGGTACCTAACCCATAACTGAGGTTCCAAACTGTTATGCTGTGTTTATTGTATGTCATATAAGAGGAAGGCTGGCAAGATGCTATTCTCACTTTTTTCACTGGTTAGAGCACCACAACATTTGGTACTTCTCATAGTGATACAAATAGTGTTTAATGGGTTTACGTTGTTATCGTTTCAAAAACGTTTTTGGATCTAACTTGGGAAAGATACTTCTAAAGTTTTATTTTAGAGACTATTGGCCTTGCTTCGAATTTAGTTCCATTGAAGTGTCATGCCAATTTCTTTTTTTTTTGGCATTTTGCATAACAATGAGCTTACCTCGCTGACTTACAAGGTTCGAAAAATGTATGACAAATTTTTTTAATTTTCGGTTCATGCAAGTTTTGCTTTTTTTTTCTTTGTTGTTCCCTAGTTTTTATTTAAAATAAGTTTGTATCAAACGAGTTGGAATAATTAAGCATTGAATCGTCAGCCTTATTTTTGGAAATGTAAGGCTGTTTATCGTAATTTTCGTTTCTTTATGTTTTTCCCTCATTTTCTTTTTTCTGTATTGTTTTCTTCTGACGTTGGTATTTTTTGTTCAGGAGAATTAAAGGTGTTGTGTAGCATTGTCATGTCACCAATTTGAGAAGCTACGCTTGCTTTTCAGAGTTTATTGGAGGTTTTGTTGTTCTTTTCCGGTTGTGAAAAGAAAAATTTTAGAGGGGATAGGGCTTGTTTGTAGAATCAAATGTTGCTTTTTCTTCTTTTATGGATTTTTGTCATTGAATGAAAATATTTATTAAATTTTGTATTATTTACACCTTCAAACGTTTATTTGTTGTTTGTTTTATTCTGATGAATATTAGAAGTTTTTAAATCTTGGAAGTTATGGTCTTCTTCGTTTATACGGTGTCGAAGTCTTTTGGAGGAGTTTTGTGAAGTTCTGTTAGAGTAAATCACTAACATTTTTCTAGTTTAGTACAAATTCTTGTTTTTCACGACACACTTATAAAGGATCTCTGGTACTTTTTCTTTTCACCGTTTATTTAGAGGTAAGACCCGTACTAGTTGAGTCAAACATCTTTTTGAGTTAGTCGAAGTCTGCAGCTCTTTTGATGGAAGGCTCAGTGCTATGTGTGATATTTATTGAAGGCTATTCTTAGTATGCATGTGTTAAATTAACAGGAGTGCCCCTGATAAAGTTTTGTAAGATCGTCTGCAAACTTTGATTCGTATAAATTCAGAGAACTGTGTTTGCTTCTTCGTTATTTCTCATTGTTCCATGAGTGGAGGAGAAAGTAGCTTGTGAGAAAGACTATTTCATGAAGAAAAACCTGAAATTTTCTCGGGAAGTCCGACCTTTTTTTTATCAAGTGGGGAGAGAAAAGGTTGTGAACTGTGTTTCGCAATCAAATGAGAGTCAGTTGTTAGAATGTGGCATCAAGCTGTAAATACGTTCATCGGTGTTCAAAAAATGAATCTGTGTTTGAAGAAAATAATGGGCGGGGAAGGTAACAGTTTACTTGATGGATCTTTTTGGTGCTGCGTTTTTGCAACGTTTTAGCCTTGCTCAAATTTAACCGAGTGATTTACTCGCATGCGTAGTCCGTAAAAACGCTCCTATGGAGACGACTGAGCACCTAATGAATGGCGTTTCCGAAAAGTGACGTCGTCTCAGTTCGGCTAGAAGTTGTAGGACGGGTCTCCCAGAGAGCTCTATTCTGTATCTACCTGAGGTACGAAATAGTGTAGTGGTAAAATAAGCTAAGTCTTTTAAAAATAAAAGAGAAGTGGCGTGCAAAACTTCATAAGTACTGGGGCTTGAAGCAACCAAACATTGCACTTTTTAGACTTTAAATTGGAGGTGTATAAACTTGGAAAAGTTTTGTTAAACATTTTTAAGCGTTGCTATCAATGTTACATACAATTTTATCTCAGATTGCTAGGGTATCTGAACAATAGACAACAATAGACAATTTCCAGGAGCATTTTTGTTTTAATTTCTAGCAGACTGGGGTAGCATTCATAAGTTTCATAGCACAAGAAACTGAAAACATGAATAACAGGTGTTTAACTCATTTCAATTCATTTGAGAACTTTTTAGTGAGAATACAGAGTCATTTTGAGTTTTGCAGTTGGCTGGTTCTTTCTCTTTCTTAGAGAGCTTAAATCAAATTTTTTTTGTATAACATTTTTTACCTAATCGTTTTTTGGACTGCATTATTCATTTATCAACAAAACGTTGATGAAGCAAGCTTTATGCAGTTGTACTAGTTACTTTTGTGGGGCTAATAAATATCTTATAAAAGTGCTTCTGGTATTGACTGGTCGACCCTTGAAACTTTTTTTTTTACATTACTATTTGTACTTTCTAGTGTATGTTTTAGATTTCGTTTATTTAGTAATAACGTAATTTGAAATTAAAAATTTGTTTTTGTCGTCAAAAAAGGTACTAAAAGGAAGCATCAAAAAAAAGCTTTATTTAGGTGGGATGTAAAAAGCAAAAATAACAGTAAACCAGGGTTGTTGCGTAATATTATTTCAGACATCAAGAAGCGGGAGTAAAGTTTAAAAAAGTGGAGATTTAATTTTATTAGTAGCGCTAGGAAACTTCCAGTTGGCTAAATTCATTGCTTTGACGGAAAGTAACTTCTACAGTTTAGATACTCTATAATGAAAAACTTCTATTGTATTGTAATTACAACTTCAGGTGTAACAACTTGCATCTGATTTAATCTCATATAATGCTGAAATTCAACAGAGTCCAAAGAGCAAGCGATATAAACACCGTAAAACTTGTATTTGTTGAGGTACGGAGAGCACGATGAGACATTCTGGGAGAACACAGATCAGCGGAGCGCAATCTTAAATTTTAGCTTTTGTAAAATGATTTTGTCTTCCATAGAAAAGGATAGAAGCCAAATTAAAAAAGAGAATTACGGATTCTGAAAGGTCTTCATACAATTTTGGGTCAAAGTTTAAGCTGAGATGTGGCGAAAGAAATAAATTAATATTTCCAGATTTTGAAATTATGAATGAAAATTAGATTCTCGACCAGCATGTTAAATTCTTGATGGAAATAAGTGTTAGTTTTTTTAGAATTGCTGAGGTTAATTTGGATTCTAATTGAATTCATTAATTCCATTCAGGTTTCGTTTGTTTAAATTGAGAGGGTCAAAACAGTTTACTGTTTGCTTATTTGTTGATGTTTCAAGGATTATCCAGAAGAAGAACTGGTTTTGTAGAAACTTTTTCTTTGCTTCTGCAAATAGCGAAAGATAAACTGTTTTGCAAGCATTTATAGTTTAGTCTACAGGAGAACCGTAAGCATAAATATTGACGAGAAGTATGCTTTGAACACTGCTCTGTGCTACTTCAAAAAATACTAATTGATACGTAGGTAAAAGTCTAA